TGGCGGGCATTCTGACATTGAGTGGGAACTGACTAATGGCCACTGCCATATCCAGTGACACTAATACAGTGATCAGTGCTAAGAAAAAGCACTGACACCGTACTAATGACACTGGGCAGGAAGGGGTTAACATCTAGGGCTATCAAAGGGTTAACTGTGTGTTGTACATACACTGTGTGCTGTTTTACTAGGGAGACATGCTGCTTTCTCTCTCTCTGCTGAGCAGAGAGAGAGAAAGCAGCATGTCCATGCAGACAGGAGAGAGATCTGTGTTGTTTACACAGATCTTTCCCCTCTCAGCTTTAGCGGCGATCATCGAGTGCCGGCTAAGCGATTGACATCTGCTGCAGCCAATGGCAGCACACGTAGGGAGGCGAGCACGCCCCCTACCTGGAACTGCAAAATCACATATATATACATGATTTTGCACAGAACAACTGCCCTGTATCAGTATATCTGCTATAGGGCAGTAGGCAAGTGGTTAACCTTGAAATTAAAAAAAAAAATAAATCTCCTGTAAAATTACTTTTCCTAGTGCAAATGTATAGAATCTTCACTCCGTTACTGAGCAAAGCCACCCAAAGAAATTTCACATCCAACACACTTTTGGGTCAGGTACCTGTATCCCCTTATGCACTCCATGGTTCATTGTGTGCAAAGAAAAAGCACATGGGATTCATAAAATATGTGAAGTAGAATGCAAAACTGAGCTCAAATAAATGCAAACATTTGCTACATTTCATCAGATTTTGTCATTAATGAATAAAGCCATTGTCATGACTTTAACAAACAAAGAAAAAAAAAACTGTATCGTGTTTTAGCAAAATATATATTTTCTCACTTTGCCACTTTTATGTGGTTTGTTATTGGCTTACCAACACTGCTTAAATACAATTTATTGCTCTGGCATTGTAAAGCAAATTTATTAAAAACGAACTGGCTACTTCTCTTTCATATGTTGTTCGGTGGGAGCGTGACCCGGGGGTAGTTGTGGATCTGGAGGACTGGAATAGGGCCTGGTCGCTTATAGCTAAATGTTCATTTAATACGACCACGCTGGAGGCGGCATACAAAGTATTGTTTCGTTGGTATTGGGTTCCAGCTCATTTGGCCTAGGCGAACCTTGCCTGCAGTGATCAATGCTTTTGGGGTTGTGGCCATCGTGGTGATGTATTGCATATCTGGTGGTCATGCCCGAAACTGTTTTATTTTTGGTCTTGTGTGTTTGGCCTCCTTTTCACCTTGTTCCATCTCTCCATACGCCGGGATGCTCGGTATGCTTTGCTTCATTATCCCATACTGGGCTTCTTGGCTCATCAGCAGAAATTGGCTTCCTATTTGTTTTTGTCAGCCACTAGAACAATTGCTGGAAGAGCCCGTTTGCCCCTCTTCAGGGGGTGCGGGACTGTATGACCACTATGATGCTCAATGAACAGATGTCAAGTATCTGCAATGACTCTCAATGTAAATTCTTGAAAATATGGGAACCGTGGTTGAAAATATGCCTTTCCCATGCTCCCCCCTGGCTAGTCTGGGGATGTGCTATTCGGTATTGGCGTTCTCGGACCCATGCTCTTGGTTTTGTTATCTGTTTTCTTTTGTACTCCTCCTTTCTTTTCTTTTTTTGTTTTTTTTTGGTGTGGCAGTGGATAGCTGCCTTTAGTTTGAGTTACTGTCCGTGTTTTTGTCATTTATATGCCATTGATAGCCCCTACCTGGGCGCACCTTTTGCTCTGTTGGTGTTAGAGCACAGTTTTTTTTTTACTTTTTTATGTGCAATTGATAGCTCCTGCGTGGGCGTGATTTGTTGCTCCTGTGTTAAACTGCTAAAAATTTATAAAAACCATTGAAATACAAAAATGAACTGACTTCTGATTGTGTTTATAAAGGGAGATAGCTTCATTCATTGCCCGTTGACTGAAAAAAAAAGTTGTGTTTTCGTATGACTTTTTTCTAAAGTGCTTCCTTTTAAGACTTACTTTCTTTCTCTAAGCTGTTAAAGTAAACCTGAGTCAGTTCTTGACACCGTTCTGTTGCAAGTTAAGCTTTTTTTTTCTACTTCTTGGTACAGTTTTCTTAGCTTAACACATCAATAATATCCTTATGACCTTAAAGTGAGTTGAAAATTGCTTTTTCTCTTCATCCTATGTTTACACTAAATCTCCCTTGACTTTTATTAGATCCCTAAACCAACTTTTCAACTTGGAGTAATCTGTTTTAACTCCGTTTAGCCCTTAGGAAAAAGAGTTTGTCCTTGAAATCTCTTCTTAATTGTATTGCAAAGACCCAATAAAACAGATTTATCCATTTAACTGAAAAAATATAATTTATAGCTCTCGTTTTTACAAAATGTAACAAGTTTCATAGTACTCAGCAAGTGTGATTTTTTTTGCAAGAAAGAGGAGGAAATTTTATAAAAGTTGAAGTTATTTTTTTTTTTTCAAAGAGGGCTGATTTAAAGAAAGGCAAGTTATGTAATGCTTATGATTTGCTATAGAAGTTATATCATTATTTCAGGTATGAATATACTGTATACAGGAAAGAATATGAAGAAAAGGGGTTTTCAAATTCCCATATTCAGCTAAAACAAAGATTAGCTGAACATGAACATTTAAAATTGTAGTAAATGTCTCGGGAATAAGACTGCTGTAAGTAAAGTAGATGAAGCAGGGAATGACGCTTAGTTGCACATTTTGATTTCTCTAGACTGGATAACCAAGAATAAACTGTTTTACAGAGGTTGTTCATAACACACAGCACTGCTGCTGCACATGTATGATTTAACAAGTTGAAAAGCATAAATTTGGATTTCTCTATATTTATTTCTATATATATATATATTTCTCTATATATATTGTACTGCTTAGACCTGAAGAAGGGGATATTCCCCGAAAGCTTGTCCTCAAAATTGTATGTTCGTGCAAATAAAAAAAGTATCACGGACAGTACTCAATTGTTCTATATTTATTAAAACCAATGTCACAACTAACCCCAAAAAAGCCCAAAAGAGTGCAGACTGTTATCCAGACTCCTGATTCATGAGAGAGTATATCTATTTGAACTGGTTGTGGATGTGATTTGTAGGTGAGAGCAGAGAATGGCTGATTTTAACTACTATATACAGGGCTGGTGCAAGGATTTTTGTCTACACAGGTGAAAGTACATTTTGGCATCCCTCTCCCCTGTCCTCCCACCATCCTTCTGTTATGTGATGGAAAGCAGCACAAAGGACATAATGCTGCATTTAAAATTTTTATCAAACTGCCCATGAACAGTGCATGTAATGAGCAACGAGGGTTATTCACTCCACACATACCCTCACTGTCTACAGCCACACTGGTACCTCCTTCACATTGCACCCGTAATGTGATGGGGAGCAGGGTGAAGGATATCACACAGCATTGAAATTTGAGCTGTGCTGAACTGCCACTAAATGGCAGTGTGTAATGAGGAGGTGGGGTTATGCATTCCATACTTTTCCTAACCACTGGCTACGGCAGTTGGCAAGGTGAGGCAAACTAAACATACCACACTACGCCCAGGAACGAGCACAGCATTAGGGAACAAAAGACTGGTATTTTAAAAATACAAATATCTAACAAGTGGCTGGGGATTTGGATTTTAAAAGAGAAGTTCAGGAATTAAAAAAAAAAAAAAAAAACATTTATACTCACTAAGGCCCATTCCACATTGGGCAGGCTCTGTTGCAGACCACTTACTCAGTGGGGGATCTGTCCATTGAACTCCGCTGAGCAGGTGGATGGCTGGTCCGTGTCCTCACCTGTGTAGACAAAACTCCTTGCACAGGCCCTGTATATAGTACTTAAAATCATCCACCCTCTGCCCTCACCTACAAATCACATCCACTACCAGTTCAAATAGCATATACTCTGTCATGAATCAGCCTGAGTCTGGATAACAGTCTGCACTCTTTTGGGCTTTTTTGGGGGTTAGTTGTGACATTGGTTTTAATAAATATAGAGGAATCCAAATTTATGTTTTTTAACTTGGTGTATGGGTGGACACGCTGCCTGTCTGTTTACACTCGACTGCTATCTGACCCGCAAGAAGATGGATGGGGAACAATCCCCATCCATCTGTTTTTAGCGGATAGGATTAGATTGGATGTAGGTGGGTGTAAACAGGCACACATCCATTTACACTAGCTACTCTACAGAGAAGACTGGAGGGTCCAATCAGGTCCACCTGAAAAATGGACAGGGACCTGATTGGTCCTCTACTGCGATTAGGGCCTTAGATGGATGCTTCATCTGTCCCCTACCAGCTCTGTACTGAGAACCAAGTGATTAAACATTGCTGATCACTCAGTTCTCCCCTCCACTCTGAGAAGAGAGCTCTAACTGTCAGTCTCCGGCTCTCTGCTCTACCTCTCCAGTGCTCACTGGGCTGGGGAGGGGTTCGCTCAGGTTCTCGGTGGATCACCAAGAGGCTGGTCCAGGCATCTGGGTGGATCCTGACTTTAAAGTTAGGATCTCTCCAGAGCCTGGACTTGTTGAGTGACATCAGCTGACAACAGACTTTAGCCTGGCGTTTGCTGAAAATAGGCCACAGGAGTGCATATCTACAGTAAGTGCATTCTTGTGATCCATAGGAGAAGTACAGCCAAAATAGCCTTGGCCATACTTCTCCTTTAACTAGTTGCCAAATGCAGATAGCCGAATGACGGCTACACTGTGGCCGGCCAGTTCTGTGAGGGCTTCATATGACGTCCTCCCAGAATGCGCTCTCCTGCGCTGCGCCCCCAGGGGGGTGCGTACCCAGCGATCTCCATGATCGCTGTGTCCTACGGACACAGCTGATCACGTGATGTGGTAAAAGGCCAATCACAGTGGCTTATTACCACGTGATCAGCTGTGTCCAATGACACGCTGTTCACAGGGAAATGCAATTGCTGGTTCTCGGCTACACTTTCCTCACGCTGGCAGTTGTCAGAGCAGGGATTGGCACCAATCATCAGGGCACTGATGATCAGTGCCCTGATGAGCGGTGCCCAGCAGTGCCACCCACCAGTTCCGCCCACCTGTGCCCAGCAGTGCCACCCACCTGTGCCCAGCAGTGCCACCCACCAGTGCCCAGCAGTGCCACCCACCTGTGTCACCCACCTGTGCCCATCAGTGACACCCACCTGTGTCAGCCACCTGTGCCCAGCATTGCCACTCACCTGTGCACATCAGTGCCACCCACCAGTGCCCATCAGTGTAGCCCAGCAGTTGCACCAGTCAGTGCCCAACAGTTGCACCAGTCAATGCCCAGAAGTGCAGCCAGTCAGTGCCCAACAGTGCCGCCAGTCAGTGCCGCCTATCAGTGCTGACTATCAGTACCCATCATCAGTGCCGTCTATCAGTTCCACCTATCAGTGCCGCCTATCAGTGCCACCTCATTAGTGCTGCCTATCAGTGCCGCCTATCAGTGCCCTTCAGTGCTGCCTATCAGTGCCCTTCAGTACTGCCTATCAGTGCATATCAGTGCCGCCTATCAGTGCCCATCAGTGCTGCCTATCAGTGCAGCCTCATTAACGCACATCAGAAAAATTACCTGTTTGCAAAATATTATAATAGAAACAAAGAAACTTTGTTTTTCAAAATTTTTTTTTGTTTATAGTGCAAAAAATAAAACACCCAGCGACGAGTAAATACCACCAAAAGAAAGCTATATTTGAGAGAAAAAAATGATAAAAAGGTGGTATGGCTACAGTGGTGGACTGACAACTCATGGGGCTCCCGGGCAACAGTGGATCATGGGGCCCCTATGTCTTCAGCCACACTCAAACCACACCCAAAAAAGCCTATGAAAGGTACCAGGGGCATCTCATGGGGCCCCCTTCTGACCCCGGGCACTCGGGCAGTGCCCAAGTTCCCAAATGGACAGTCTGCCCCTGTATGAGTACAATGTTGCATAACCACGCAATTGCCATTCAAAGTGCAACAGCGCTGAAAGCTGAAAATTGGCCTGGTAAGGAAGGGGGTATAAGTGCCCGGTAGGCAAGTGGTTGTTATCATCTGTCAGATTAGTAAGAGAGGTGCCCTAAGTGTGAACTGCAGCCAGGAATTGTTTAAAGAAGATTGTGGTGCATCATTAGTTAACAGAAAATGTGAGATTGTGAAGACTGCAGGGGAGAAGAAGAGGTCGGTGCAGAAGGAGAGGGCTGGGAGTGACTTTTGATAGGTAAGTGAGAAAACCTGCTTCATTTAGAAGCTGTGTCTCTCTGCTTGGTGGCTGTTTGAGACAGTGCTGCTCCACCATCCTGGATCTGCTGTCTGCTCTGCTCCCCCTCTTTCTGGAAGATGGTGTCATGGTCCTGGAGGAGTGAAGCAGCAGTGACAGAGATCAATGGGTACATCTGGTCTCCCTGTTTAAGTAGCACTGTGGGGGAGGCTTGTAAGGATGCTGGACAGAGATGAACGTCTTTGCTCCCATTCATATGGAAGTCCAGTCCACACCCTTGGAGATTCAGATTTTACTGCCCCCTCATCCCAACACCCTGATATGGGTTATTGAACTTTGCACATACGTTTTGCTCTTTCTGCTACCTTAAAGCTTTTGTAAATCCAGGAGCTAAAATGTAATATATTGCTGCTTACCAGTCCTTAGATGTGGTAGCTGCATTTGTTTTCTTTATTCAGGTTTTTCCTTTATTTTCATCTTTTAAGTCTACTAGTAACACACTTCCTTTCGTAGCGTGACAGCAGTACTGTATCTATGGAGGAGCAGCATTGTCACCCTAGGACAAGATTATAGAACACCTCCTCCTCTCCTCCTTCTTTATAATATGGGGTGCGGTTATCTGTAGTCCACAGACAGAACTGTGAGAAATGCTGATAACAGTCAACAGAAGCAGAGCGCACAGGATGTTATCAGTTCACTGGATTTCTGGCAGGATTAATAAGTACTTTTTTGCACTTACTGAACCGATATAACATAATGCTTTCAATAGTACTGTATATTTACCAGACCAAAAGGGATCAAATAGAAAAAGTTAATTTCTAGGGCTGATGTATGCTTTAATTATGTTCCTGTTAAAAATTGAACTTTACCCTGGCAAAGGAAAAAAGAACATGGCCATTTTTTTGGTAGAATAGTCTTTATGTGTCTTTTTGACAAAAAAAAACATTTACCTAGAAAATGTATTTTTTTGTAATTTTTCTTACTACACATCTAGAGAACAATACACAATTTCAGCATTTATCAGATGCTGAAGCGTGAAGAAAGCTCCCATGTTTAGAGTTACATTGCAGGACACTATCGAAGAAATGACAGGCGGGCGGTAGTTCTCTCATTCTGGGAGATGACGTCCTCCCTGATGCCAAACTGTCCTGCCACTGGCTAATGACTTTTAAGCTGTCATTAAGAATTAAGATGCTGCAAATTATAAAGCAGTGTAAAATTGTCCAGCAGGAGGATAGTTTTAATGAGATACGACTGGCTGAAATGTGGCTGAAAAAGAGTACAAGCGTTTTACTGCATGAAATAAGAGACTGCAGAGGACACAGCAGTGTAAGCAGCAGGACATTTTGGAATAGCAAGGCTAGGCAGGGCTGGACCCAAAGTTACAACATACAATGAGTGCAGGGTGGGGCTTTTATACAAGATTAAAATAGTTCTAACAAGCTCAGCTTTTTTTGCCTTCATGTATTCTATGCATGAAGGTAAAAAACCTTCTGTGTGCAGCATCCCCCAGCCCAGGAGCAGACTGACTATTTGGAAACTCGGACACTGCCCAAGGACCCGGGGTCAGTAGGGGGCCCCATGAGATGCCCCTGGTACCTTTTTCATAGGCTGTTTTGAGTTTGGGCAAGGACACAGGGGCCCCATGATCCCCTATTGCCCGGGGGGCCCATGAGTTGTCAGTCCACCCCTGCCCCAGCCCCCCCCAATACTCACCCTCTTGATCCAGCGATGTGCACTGGAGTCTTGGCTATCCCTCTTCTCATCGTCTGAGACAGAAGTGGGAGCCATTGGTTCCCACTGCTGTCAATCACAGCCAGTGAGCCAATGAAAAGAGAGAGGGGGTGAGCCACACACTAAGCAGTGGGTGCCCCCATAGCAAGTTGCTTCCTGTGGGGCACCTGACAGTGGGAGGGGCCAGAAGCGATGGCCGGGAACCCAAGTAGAGGAGGATATGGGTTGCTCTGTGCAAAACCACTGCGCACAGCAGGTACAGTAAGTAGAACATGATAATAGTTCTAACTGTTGTTTTCCTAACTTTGATATTATCTACGGGAATAGGAGAGTTTGTTAAAGAAGTAATAAACCCAAAAGCAAACATTTATTATATTGCACCTTACCAATTCTTAGATGTGATGGCTGCATTTATTTTCTTTTTTAAACTTTCTTTCTTCTGTTTTCATATGGTGGTCCAGCCAGAAAGGCTGTTGTTTTTCAAAAGCACAAGCTATCCAGCAGAATGTAATAGTTTACATGGATGAGCCAAACCATTTACCTCTGGCAGGGTTGCTTAAAATGATCACCTTGTATTTATTCATGTAAAACCATTATCCCAAAAGGCAAAAAAAAACAGTTTGCTGTAACTGATTATAAAGCGTGAGCTGGAGTTTGGCTTCAATTGGCTGGTGTGTATTTAAATCTACTCCCAGACTGACAATGCTGCTGTCTGCTGTGCTTCCTATGCTCATTAGAAATGAAGATCTATACACAATTAAGGCCCATTATACCAAGATACATTCCTTTAATTGAGGAAGAGCACATACCATTTCCCCCTTTCCTAGAATCCTTATATTCTTATTTCTTATAGTTTCTTTGTGCTGCGCAGCGTCTGGGTGTGGCACGGGCTCGATCGCGATCGGGCAATCAAAGTAACCAACACTCAAGTAGGATACAGGAAGATTGCAAAGTTTATTACGTACATTACAGTTTATAAAGGTAAAAACCACAAACCCAAATTATCCAATAGTAAGACAAACTCAAATTATCCAATAGTAAGCGTACCTGTTACTTCTACCCAGATACCAGACAAGGTTCACCTTTTCTTAAACTGTTAAACTGTTAAACCTCAGTCAGTACATCCTGCCTTTTTGGCTGTGTTCCCAGATCTCTTATCTGAACATCTATCTATGTTTTCTACGATATTTTGCAGACACCTGCAGTCTAGGCGTCCACCCTGTTACTTTGCGGTTGTACTTGTGACATACATACACCTATTAAAATTTTCCATAAGCTCGAACATAATGCTGACATTTCTTATAACATTTAATTAAGACATAATAATTTCATCTACTTAAAGCATCACTCTAACTCTTATCACAATGCAAGCATAATGAATACAGAAATGGTATACCTGAAGCAATAGCCCTAGCTCATATTTCCCCACAAGTACTTTTGGTGGTGGTGCTGTTCAAAGTGGCAGTTTCCTTAAAGAAAAAAAAAATTTTTTTTGGAACAATGCCATTTCATAAACTTTTTGTAAACTAAGGCTTGTGTCGGTCATTTAAAATTAAACCTGAGCCCACAAATCAAAAATATTGTTTTTACTCAAAATTGTCAATCTTTTTTTTATAGCGCAAAAAATAAAACACACAGGCAATAAAATACCACTGAAAGAAAGCTCTATTCATGGGATAAAAGGACGTAAATTTAATCCGGGTGCAACGTTGCATGACCGTACAATTGTCAGTTAAAGTAACGCAGCGCCGTAACGCCAAAAAAATGGCCTGGCCAGGTGGGGGTGGGGTGGAATCCTCAGGAGGGTAAGTGGTTAAAAAAAACAACCAAAACTCTACTCTGGAGTATTTTTTTTGTGATCTTTGAGAATTAATAATTTCACATCAGACCTCCTTCATACTGGTGATTATCCGCACAAATTGGATTTCAGCAATGAGAATCAGCAGCTTCCTCTAGCTGGGATAACAGGTGTATGTAATTAGCGGTGGTCACTAAAGCCGGCCATACATGGCTCAAATTCCGAAAGAATTTCAAAATTTTGAAAATCTTTTCTAAGACTTTTTGTTCAAATTTCGCACCATTAGTGGGCCACAGCAACGGCCGATTTTCAGGTGACCATTGAATTTGAGTGATCGGGCATATTGGAAATTTTTAGAAAAATGAACGAATTTCTAATCAATGATGGGAGAATCGTGCGAGAAATGTAATAAAAAAAAAGTGAGCATGGGCTGTGACCTGGACAGAAAAGAAAATTCTTGGCCACGAAAATTCTTTTCTGTAGCGACATGAGGTGAAATTAAAGGCTTGGTTGGTCGCATTTCGAAATCAATAGTGGCTCCATCAGATTACAAAATGCATGAAATTTCCGATTTTCGAAAGAAAATGGCCTGCGTAAGCACTGGTTCCCACTGAATGCAACTTTGAAATTGCACGATTGGAAAGCTGCAGATCAGTGTGGTTTGTACCAGGGGCGGACTGACAACTCATGGGGCCCCAGGGCAATAGGGGATTATGGGGCCCCTGTGTCCTCGCCCACACTCAAA